AACAAAAAAAAGTTAGCAAAAAAAAAAAAAAAAACGGTTGAATGACATGTTCCCACCCGAAGTTTGCCCTAACAAAAATTTACTACCCAAAAAGTTTCAAAAAAACAATTACCCACTTTTCGTTAATATCTATCTGTTAAGTTTAACTGAAAAAGGATAAAATGGTAAATTCAAAAACCGTCAAGGGTAATATGTCACTTTACCCCTATATTCCCGTCTTCTTCTCATCTCCCCCCTCTCATCTTCATCTTCTTCATCTCACCTTTTTTCTCGCGAATACCCATCTTTCAGGTATGTTTCCTGTCGATTGACACATTGAAAATTCACCCTTCCACCAATAGAACCCCCTTCACCCTCTCTTGTAAACACACCATTCAATCGGCTTTCACCACTCCCCGTTTGCCGTCCACCAATTGTTTTTGGGCTACCCACCACTTGTGCATAAAACTCCCCAACCAACTTGCCCATCTCTGACCACCAAAATGCAATCTATCAATACCAAACGACTCATCAGATTCTCCTCTTCATAACCCCCATCAATTTGGCTTGAGCTTGTCTATCATTTTTGCTGACGACTCCCTCTTGGGTTTGTGCAACTTTGAAGTTGGGGTTGTTTTGATTGGAGTTTTTGAGGAGTTGATTGGAGGTAATTGCTTGTTTGTTTGGAGTTGGGCTTGTTGGTAGTCTATTGTGGTTTTGTTTCCGGCCGATTTCTGTCACCGACAATCCTTTTCCCCCATGTTTTTCAAAATTCCCACCAAGTGTTCATAAAAAGGTCTGTAAGAGCCTTCTGCACGCGCTCAGCACCAAAATTTGAAATTTTTTTCTTCTCAGTTTTTATTCTTTGATGATTGATTGATAATATGTATTTTGTGATGTGTGATTAAATTGTTTAATAAATTATTGATTTGGGTTGGAAGTGTTCAAAATTTGTGGTGGTTTGTGGCAGTGGTGATGGCTGTATTTAATGGTTCTGGTGGCGGGTTTGGAGCTGGTGGATGTTCAGGTGCCGAAATCGATTCCTGGGATTTGGATTCAAATAGAGAAGGGTATTTTTGTCTTTACAGTGATTATCAATCTCACATAAAAAAATTTACTAACAAATATTAACGGAAGGTAGGTAATTGTCGTTTTGAAACTTTTAGGGTAGTAAATTGTTGGTAGAGCAAACTTTGGGTGGAAACATGTTATTCGCCAAAAAAAAAAAATAAAAAAAATCAACCAACAGATTAACAAAACCATACAAAAATAGTTTAAGATTGCAATTTTATGACTTACAAATGCTTAATTAAAGTGCATTGTTGAGTGCTGAGAACCAAAGAAAGTGTTAAGTGGAGTGACGACATGACTTGTACTAGCCAAAATGAAGACAAAAGTTTGGATGAGAACAGAGTGATGACTTAGGGTTATTTGGAGACTAAAAGTGTTTGACTATTGTCTTAGAATCTAAAAACATTGGATAGGGTTTCATAATTTTAATTTATATATTAACATTTTTTTTTAATAAATTGAAACGAGTCAGGTGGTACTTAAACTGCATTCGACCTGCATCTTACCTAAGCGTAAAATACCTCACCCATGCCCATATTTGTTCCCCAGATTTCTAGGTTTTTTACCACCCAAATTTTGCACGTAAATCTAGATTCGAATTCATGCGGCTCAAAATGCTATCCGTCAAAGCATTCACATAAGGAGTGCTCCAAAAAGGGGAGTGTATAGGCCGATAAGAATTGTTTTTCAGACTATGAATAAGAGACTAGGTCATCCTTGCACAAACTAATTAGGAGTTGGAGTCATTCCCCTAATGAGTTCATGACAGGACGAAACCGATTAACCTTGAGTTGATGAATGGCATGTTGCGCAAGCTTAACCCTAATAAAATCTAATGTTAGGGTGTCGCATAGGCTGTTTCGTTGTGTTTAAACTCTAAGCCCATGACAAATGGTATCAGAGCACGATAGAAGGCATTAGCACAATTTTGCCCCCTTCTTAACGATCTTAGCCGAAGAGGTCTCTCTTGCACTTGCAACACGTAAGGGTCGCTACAACGCACGTTCAACCTTGCAAGGAGTATAACGTTTCCCATGAGGGAGTGCAACATTAAATACTAAGAGCATGCAACATGCAAGTCAAAGATGCATGTGTGAGATGTATGTTAGAAATGCAACAATGAGCACCGAAAGCAACATACCATTTAAGTAAAAGATCTCATGTGTCATTGAGCAATACTCAATTACCATAGGCAAAAGTCTAAAGCTTCTGGGTTGTCATCACAGATCAATATGACAACGGAGTCGTGCTTAAAGCAAGTTGGCGTCCCTTTAAGCCACTAGGTTGTGCCACAAGCCGTAAACTTTGACGATTGTGTGTGGTAGGCTTTTACAAGAATGATATACATGAGGGAGTTTGCAAGAATGATATACTTGAGGGAGTTTGCAAGAATGATATACTGAGGGCTTGCATAGAAATGGGTGTGGGAAATGTCACGACTTGATAGTGAGCAGTCTCGACAAGACCAGCGGTTATGGTGAGCATACGGGTTGAGTGATTACATAAAAAATTTACATGGTGTGCTCCTATAAGGGGAATGCAAGAGCTAATAGGAGTTGTTCTTTAAAGTTGACTATGAAGAATGGACTAAGTCATCCCTGTAGAAATTGGTCAAGAGTTGGAGCCATTCCCTTAATTAGTCCATGGCAAGATGAAACCAGTTAAGCTTGAGCTAATGAATGGAATGATGAGTAGACTTGACCCCCACTAATGTGTGATGTTGGGGTGCCACACAGGCTATTATGCTATGTTGAAACTATAGGCCCATGACAATTAGCCCTAGCTACTATATTCAAGATAAATAATTCATATTTAAATTCAAAAAATTATTGCTACAATAATTTAAATTTTTAAAATTTAAGAATGCTTTTAGAAAATTCCTAAACATACTGAATGGAAATTCTATTAAATAAAAATTTTTAGTATTAATATTTTCATTTATCTTTTTAAGTATTTTACCACTACTAGATTTTATCTCTTGTAATCGTACCGAGTATTATTAAACAAACTTAAAAATAATACAACTTTTTTTTTTTTTAAACAGAGACAGAGAAATTATATTAAATGGGTTAAGAGGAGGGAGTTGAGAACTAGCATTTTTTGGAAAGTGTCTCAAGAAATAGCACATTTCCATTTAACACAAAATTGGTGAACAAAATTGCCCCTAATGATAAATCCCTAACCATTAATTTAAAACATGTGCTTCCACCCTAAAATCTCAAGTAAAGACTTGAATTTGTGATCTTGAGGAGAACCTTTTTAACATCTTTCTTGATATATTGTTTTGTTATTTGAAAGTTGTTTGAAATCTAAAATTTTTGAGTATGTTGCACATACGTCTAGCAAACATGTTAAATAAATCATTTCTGAAATGATTTGTTGTTGTTATAGTTGATTAAGGTTGATATTTTGAAAATGGGTGGTTTAAGGGTAATCTAGGTATGGGTTTTGGTCAATTTTAGAGGATTCGAATGGAAAATTAGGGAGGTTGAAGATGAGTTTTAGGTGAAACCCACATGTTGGGGGCAGTTGGCCTGATTGGGCTACACTTAGCCTTTTTTTTTTTTTTTTGGATACTAATAAAGTGGTCGAAACCATGCCATTTAGTCGATTCGACCATTTGGAAAGAACTTATCTTGGTCGAATCTAAGTTATTTAGCCAAAAATCAACTTCGTCTTCTCTAGTAGAGTCTGCATTTTTTGGCTAAATTCAGTTGAAACCCCTTGATTCGACCATTTTCACACCCTTCTTAGCAACAGTTCGACATATCTCACATTCTTGACCCTAAAATCCCACCCCAAACCCTAAATCCAAAACCAACATTTCTACTTAAATTTCACTTGATTTTGGCACAAATAGAAGGTAGATATTGGTTTAGGGTTAAAAGTTTGATTTTTGGCAATGGAGTGAAGAGTAGGTTAGGGTTGAAGAAGATGGGTAAAAAGTATAAGTTTTACTTGTAAATGGGGGCAATTTCATTCGAAAATATTGTATGAATTAGAATTGTGTTATTTCTTAAGACACTTTTCAAAAGTGCTACTTTTTAATTCAAGTCTCCAAATAGTTCCATTTATATAATTTTTCACAGAGAAAACAAGTGTGGAAAACCAAGTTCATGTTGCAATAATCCATCGAAAGTTAAAAGAAAAACAAGTTCGGGTGCATTTGGTTTCAATAATATTTTATTACAAAAAATATAAGATTACCAATGAGATAAATAACCTTAAAGATTAATAGTTATAAATTAGTATTGTGTTTGGTTCGTATGAATTGTATAAATAATTAATATGTTTAGTTAGCAGTAATTACAGAACAAGATAAAAAATTAATTAATGATGTTAAAGAAGTCATTCAACAAGTTAGGTTGATTGTTATTTGACATCAATAGGAAGACATTTGTCTTTGGAATTTTTATTAATTAAGGGTAAAATTAAAACAAAAATAAGATTATCACAATAATCTTAAAAAACTACTCTTTAAGTTGATAATCACATAACCTCTTATATCATCTCTTATATTATCTAAGTAATAAAATATTATCCAAATCTTTTACTACATGCTAAATCAAACAAAATCATGATCGGATTAAAAGGAAGATTATCATCCATAGGCCGCAACCTTCGTGTTACAATAAGTCAATAATCCATTGAAGTCAAACCCGCGTTGATTTTTATTTTTATAAAAAACCGTATCAGGTTCTCGGATTGCCTACAGACCAGAAACTTGACCCGACATTGACAACCCGGGTACCAATACTTTTTAATTGTCAAAGATTCCCATCTAAAAATCGCTTTACATCAATTAATTTCCTCTTTTACCCCGCGATCTCGTGATCATAATTCAAATCAGCTGCAGTCAACAAGGTTAAAAGAGTAAATTCACTGACGTTGTTTTGTTGAATATTATATTATATTCGTCTCCTTCGCCGAAGAGAAGAGAAATAAGGGGAGGTAAAAATATTCAACTGATTTTCAAAAGTCAAAAAACAAAACACAGAAGAAAGGGTTTATGGATAAACTGAAATGCAGTGGTTCTTCTTCATGTATGATCGGAGCTGCTGTTCTACAACGATACGAGCCGTCTGATTCATTCGCTTTTCTTTTGATTTCTTCACTGCCGTTGGATCGACTCACGCCCTGGTTGCCCTTCCTTCGCTAATCTAACTCACAAGACGCGAGATTTTTAATTTCTATATAAAAAAGGTATTTTTTTCCCTATTGCTTTAATTTTTTTATAAATATTTTTTTCTGTCAATTATTTCTGTGGAGCTTTTTCTTATTTGTTGAAAGCTTTGTAATTCGGAATTTAAATTATTTTATTTCGGAGTTTTTATTTTATTTTTATAATACCTGGTTACTAAATTTCACGGCGTTCGCTATCATACCTGGAATCGTCGTCAATCGTAAAGGGACATCCTTTGGTACCGGCTTGGTATTGTTGCCAAAAGTTTGACTAATGTTTGACCTGTGTTTCCTGGTAACGGTACTGACCCAGTACCTTAGAAGCTTAGTTGATGACTGGTAAAATTAAGCATTAATGAGGGAAAGGGTAACAATGGAGCACCGTCTATTTTTAAAAGAGATTAGTTTGTAAAAATTAAAATCAGGTTGTATTGTAACATATCCTAAAAGGGAGTTCTATGTTTTGTGGCAGTTGTCCTTACTGGAAAAAGTTTTTTTTTTTTTGTTTGGGGGGGGGGGGGGGGGGGGGGGGGGGGGTGTTGTGAGCTTACTGGAATGTGAGTTAACATTTCCGTTGTGTTAGTATTGCAAGTGTTATGACACGTTACAAGGGACCTGAGAACGTTACTGATTTGTTGAGTATTAAACATCAAACTTGGAATGTAAATTGGTAACAAGGGGCATGAGAATTTTTAAGTATTAAGAGTGATATAGTATCAATCAGTCCAAACTTTAGTTGAAGATGGTTTTTAGTTCATTTAGCATGTAATATGCATATGATTTTTGTTTGGTGTTTTGTTGATGTCTATTCATTTCTCATTTCTTAATCATGTTAGAAGAAAGGCCTAGAGCTGGGAATATTTTATTAGATCTTTATAGGTTGAATTTGGTCAGACATATCCTTGAAATTTTGCAAACAGTTATAAAGTTTTTCTTATATATGTTGCATCAGAGCTCAAGTCAGAATTAACCATTATTCTAGAAAGCTGATTGAAGAGTATCCATAATATATTTTGATGATATGCTGAATTTAGCTACATCTGCTGCACAGATCAAATTGTATGATTCGAATTGGATTGTGAAATCTCATTTGGCAAATAGTCAAGGTAGCTTTGTGACTGGAATTGGAGGGGAGTGATATAGTATATGGTATAACAGCTGTAATAGCTATTCCTGTGGCATTACTCAAGACAAGTTAAGTTTAACATTGTACCATTAATATCATATTTTGATAAATACCCACAACCTGCTGAGTTTAGTTTGGCACCCGAGTACGATGGATCACTGGTGATCCTAAAATGAATCACTCAGTTTAAATTTTGGTGTTAAAATTTTTTGTGGGCTTTTTGAAGACCTCAAATTTAAAACCTCTTTAGTTTTCTTTTTTTTGGCTGAAAATTTTCTGTTAACAGTTGTGATATAATTTTCTCTGTTGTATGTTTGGTCACTTTGTAATTTGTTTCTTTGAGTTGTGATGTCCTTAAGTTCAAGACTACAAGTTAAAGACTCATGTCATCTCCAGGTGGAGGGGCTCATTATCTAACCAATGTTCTCTCTCTTCTGCAGTGCACAATACGAGATTAATATTTTATTCACTTTTGTCATATATAAAATGTCACGGACAGGGGCAAAGTCATGTGGTTGGGCTGCTTTTGATGTCAAGCAGCGGCAGAAACAAGGCCTTGAGCCTGAGATTGACAAGGACCCTTACCCGCCATTTACCAGCACTCTCATCCCTCTGTGTACCTGTGAGAGCATCACAAAAACTAATGGTCTTCCAATGAAGCCTTTTGCATCAGTGCTTCTTCCTTCCGTGGATTTTCCAACTTTAACAGAAAATAAAGATTGCCAGAAATTTATACAAACTGGTGATTCTGATTCAAGAAGGAAACCTGATATTAAGGTAATTTATGAAAATAATCATGACTCTATTCTTAAGCAGCTCAAATTGCTCTATCCCTGGGCGGACAGTAGCTTGATTGAAGATATCTTGGTGGCTGCTGATAATAACATTGAGAAGGCCTCAACTTTATTGAAAGGAATGGTTTCCAGCAGCAGCAGCGAAGAGAATATGGAAACAAGAATTGCAGAGTTGAGTTCTATGAGTGATGACTTTCCATGTGAAAACATGACTGAGGAAAGCTCTTTTTTAAGGAAGACTTTAGACCTCACTAACTTAACCTCTACTACGGAGGATAGTATCAAAGACAACCACAAAGAACCCACATATGCACAAGCCTCTTGTGGGATAAAGCTTTCTGATAATGATGCTGATATGAAATCAATTCTGGAGAAGTTGTCTTCTTTGCCGATTGAACCTGAGTGGGAAGAGGATGATGTCTACTTAATCCATCGAAAAGATGCATTAAAGATGATGAGGTATGTGATCTGAGTGTGTATGTTGAATTTAGGTGTATATGCAAGATCTGAGTGCTTATGTTGAGTGTGGATTGTTTATTGAAGGTCCTAAAAATTCCAAAATTTGTAACCAAACAGCATTCTTTTTTTTTTTTTTTTTTTTTGGGTTTGGGGTTGGGGAGGGGTTCGTCTTTTGTCTTGATAGGTGATCTATTTGCTAATAGAAATTCTGCATATCATTACAGCCCAAACAGTTTCTCATAATTTACAAAAGTCCTGTCAATGTAAAGCTTGATAAGGTTTCTTTTTCTTTTTCTTTTTCTATTAGAAGCTCAAGAGAACTTGGATTGATTGATGAAAGATTTACAAAGCAGTGAACGAGTTGTTTATATATATATATATGCATCTATGGGTCAAGATAATTTAAAAAACTAAACTAAACTTAAGAAATCAGGACATTGTAAATAGTCACAAAATCAACAAAAACACTAAAACTATGGATGTCAAGTGAAGTAAATCATGAGTTGGCTTAAGTGGTAAATACATGAGAGAATTTACAAAGACAATTTAATTTGTGAAAAAAAGGTGTAAATGATTGTGGCACAATCATTGGACGTTGGAGTTACACCAAGGCATGAAGCACATTTCTGCATCTATACACAAATTTCTTCTTTCCCAAATTTTATAACACATTATTCTATACCCTCATGTCATTCTAATTGTTTCATAATGGATATGGTGAATTTCATCATAATTTCATGGTTCTCTACTACCAGGATGAATACTGATAATTTCCATTCATTTCATTTTAACAGATCAGCATCTCAGCACTCCAAGGCAGCCGATAATGCCTTTTTAAGAGGTGATCATTTTTCTGCTCAGGAGCATTCACTGAAGGCTCGAAAAGAATGGTTAATTGCTGAAAAGCTTAATTCAAAGGCAGCCAAAGAAATTCTGAATATCAGAAATAGTGACAATGACATGTGGAAATTAGACTTACATGGTCTTCATGCAACGGAAGCTGTTCAAGCCTTGCAAGAACGTCTGCAACAAATCAAGATGCCGGTTGAAATGAATTGTTCAGTATCTCCACGTAAAGTTAAGGCAAAGAACGGGGTGGTACATACTTCATCACTTGAGTCTTTTAGTTGTATGGACATGGAGGATGAGAATAAGCAGCAGGCATCATGTCGGCAGATACGAAAACCCTTACAAGTTATAACAGGTAGGATTGATTTAGTAAGTGGTGATTCCCTCTGGACATGTACTATAATTACCCACTCTTCTGTGTTACTCTCTTTAGTTGCTTCTTTTTGTTGTTTTGGACTTTCACACAACCATAATGTGTCTGGTGTGTAGAAGCTAAAATGTTTTATGACGACTAAAACTATTACAAGATAATGCTTATCACCAGACTCCTTTACAGTGTCTAAGTTGGAGTTGCTTTTAGATTTGATGAGTTTGTCATGTATGAAGTATGAACATTTGTAAAGAAAAGTACTTTTTACTTTTTGACACTATTAAATCCCCATTTTATATTATGGTATGGATCTGAACTATCAAATCCCATATAATTCACTTAGAAATTGTCCCTTTCTAAACATCATCCAAACATTCTCGAATTTATTTAACCAATTTAGTTTTTTGGCAAAGACTTTTTTATTTTCTAATCTATAGTAAATTTCGTTTTAGTTGGTAAGCCCACTTTTAAGCATCCAATCCTTAATTATAGTCTCAGTAGTCAGTACTTTAGTTACATGTAACAGTGGATTTTTTGTAGGCAAAATGAAGTCCTGGGAAACCAGTTCAGTTTGTGTTTTAGCAATTTAGGACAAGAGAGGGGGAAAAAGATATTGACCTTTTACTTTTAGTGGTAGATCAGTTATATTTATATCAATGTTCAGTTACAGGATATCCTCACTTGTTGCTTTATTCAATCCAACAGGTGTAGGGAACCATAGCCGAGGAGAGGCTGCGCTTCCGACAGCAGTTAGAAGTTTCCTGAGTGAAAACAGGTCCCCCATCCTCCGTTCTCCTCTCATTCCCTCCTGAACCCAACTTTTCACTTCTGTTTTATAAATTACCTAAGCAAGATCAGGCATTAGTGGCCACACACACACAGCTGAATCTGATTGTGTACCTCTTATTGCAGATATCGTTTTGAGGAGACAAGGCCGGGAGTGATCACAGTTCGGCCCAAATTCCATCACAGGTGAGGTCAGCAAAATGAATTTGGCAGATCAAGATGATGACATCATTCTTTTTATCAAAAAGGTTTATTCCTAGCTGAAGCTTCGCTTCTGTACATTATTCTTTTTTATCTTAGGGATTTATTCTTAGCTGAAGCATCAAGTTCAATTATTCCTTTTGTTGCATAACACCCATGTAATTGTTTTAAAAACCGGACCGGAGGGCAAACCGCTTTGATGGCCGGGTCACGGTTCAACCGGTCCAACCGGTTGGACCGCCGGTTGAACCGATGGTTTGACAGGTTTAAAATCTAACAAAAACACCCCTAATAATTACCATCAGACCCTAAAGGTTTGAAATCTAGCAAACACAACCCTGGCTAAATGCAAATCGACGATCGATTGGGAGAGCAGCAGCGACACACCAGGGAGGGTAGATCGGATGATGGGGAGGGCGAATCGACAGCTAGCAAGTAGAGGCATCGCCAGAAAATGGCAGATTGGTGGTAAAGTCACTAGTTGCGGTTGCTTTTTTCGGTGAGATGACTGGATTTTCGTGAACGACAACAAGGGAGCTTGGGAGAAGGTAGATCGGTGGCTGAGGAAGCCTATCGATGCCGGAGAAAGCCGATCAACGCCGAGAAATGGAAGAAAAATCTCATGGTGAAGGTGGACGACGAAACATCACACAGCGACTGGAGATGAAGCGTGACAACGCCAGAGAGAGTCAGAACTCAGAAGGTGGTTTCCGACAATAAGGGAAGGTGGAAGGTCGCCGGAAAAGGGGAGGTCATTGCCGATTTGCATTTGGCCAGAGGGTGTATTTGCTAGATTTGAAACCTTCAGGGACTGATGGTAATAATCAGGGGTGTGTTTGTTATATTTTAAACTTTAAATAGTTAAAAAGAGTGAACCGACCCGAAGAAGGCCCCAGGTCCCAATCCAACCGGTTGGACCGGCCTGTCCAGTCCAACTTTTAAAACAGAGCCATGTATACCATTTAGCTGGAAGGATCCTTTTACTTGGTGAAAACAATCATTTGTATCATTGTCCTAAATTATAAAAATTCCATTTTGAATGAAATTTATCTGCTGTTTAAAAATTCACTGCAATGCACCTGAGTATAATGTATACCGGTTCTAGTCAGTGTGCAAAATGTAGGTTGGGGGCCATTAATGATTAAACACAAATAATTAGCAGTTAAGAAGCCATATTTGCTGATGGCTGATGATATATATGATGTGATGCAGTAAGGGGCACTTCAAATTTGAACATAAAGTATGGCGTCAAATTCACTCACAAATTATCAGTACAAGCTAATGGCTACTTGAAGCTCGATCACATTTCTATTACCCAGAAACCCACTAAAAAGAAAAGAATGAAAAATAGAACAAATCCTATTTCATTCTGATGATTCAGAATTATAATATCGGTGAAGTGTTGGGCCACCAATTTCTGTAAATGTTTGAACAATAGCTATCCCATTCACAGGACTTCAATTTTCTCTTGGATGCCTTTGAACAACACAACAGAGCAATATATACAAATGTTTAAGGATCACCTGCTTTATCCTCGGAATATAAAAATATAATACATACCCGTTCCCCGCTATTTAGACTTCTTACTGTGAACTGCCTCTTTGAGTTTTCTTCCCAATGCAAATGCCAAAGGAGGTGGAACAGCATTCCCAATTTGACGGTGTTTGTGTTGAATGTTACCAGCAAACTCATAGCTATCTGGGAAACCCTGCATTAAAAGATGAAGAGTAATGCCCATCTGTACCAAACTAGAACCACTCTTCCCAGGATTTTGTTCAGTTGTCAATAACAACCAGGATATAAATCAAAGCAAACTTCATGATGAAGCATTCCCTCTCTTCAATATATTTATATACACACGCCATTCTTTAAAAATCTACTACCAATGTGATCAGAAGTGGATGATTAAAACTTTCGACACCCTTAAAAGCTTTAAGCCATTTCTAAGTATAACGATTTGCTATTTGCTGTACTCTAGCGATGACATCAGATTTCTTTTCCTCTGTACCTCCTACTAAACACTGCCCCAGCCTTACTGTTAGTGGGACTAGATACAGAATTATACTAGTCATTCGCACAATATTTCAAATTACACTTGATCTTTTTTTAGTATAATGGATTTAATTTTTGGAAACAGAAGGTTAGCAAGTTAGATTAAAATTTTGATCTTCATCTCAAGGGAAAAAAGATTTATGATAGAAATGAAGTAGTGGTAAGCAAACTACAGTGATAACTTACTTGGGAACGAGCACATTCACGGACTGTAAGAATCCTGTCCTGATCAGGGTGAAAGCACATACCCACCTTACCCATGGGTTGAGGATCTGTAATGGAAGTTGGGAAGTTCCCTTCCCAATCCAACCTTCCAAACAGACCCTTCCATTGATTGTGCCGCTTGGCTGTGTTTGGAAGGCACCATGGTATTAAATCTACTACTTGTCCAGTGGACAATTTAACCTGCATTTACTCAAAATAATTAATAAACATCTACTAGCCAGAAGCAGCTTAAAACCTAAATTCCTCTGTTGGTACCTTTTCATCTGGAAGGTCATGCCAATCAGCACCTGGCCGCTTTGGAATCTTTTGACATCGGATGAGATTCAACTCATTCATTTCTTTTGATATATGATCACTCAAGACAGCCGTGTTCCCTCGAATTTTCTTTTGGAACCATGAGACAGGATCATTTTGGTACTGTGAAGCACAATGTTGGAAATAAGATGTCTCACTAGATGCAAATTCAACATTACTTGGTATATAATATATACAAAGCCTCAAAAAACATAACTGAATTTGATAATACCTCCATATTTGTCTTAGAAGCTCCATTCCCTACTGCTGGCAGCTCCCCAATTGTATCTCTTACCGTTATTGCACGGAAAGGAGCCCCATTTGAAGTACTCCGAGCAGCAGCATATACTGAATTTTCTGATAACGTGATTTTCAACTCTGGGGCAGCAAAGACATGCATTGGCTCTGGCCATTCTGGGAGAATCTCTTGGGGTGCGGCTGCCCAAATGAACGCTCGTTTTCGTGACTGAGAAACTCCATAGGCTCCAGCTTCCAAAATACCAAACCTCACCTGAACACAAGTACGGTTAGTTATATGCATACATAAATACACATCTCAATACAAAATATGGAACTTCATTTTTTTTTTTTTTTTTTTTTCCAGCAGTGGAGCAATGATACCTGGTAACCCATTTCAAGCAGTGAAGCCAATGTCAAACGGAATGTCTGTCCTTTATTGAAAGAAACAAAGTTCCTCACATTCTCTAGGAGGAAATACCTCGGACGAAAGTAATCAGCAAAGGACAAAAATGCCAAGATCATCTCGCACTGAACTTTACTCCAAGTGCTTTGGTTAAACCTATTCATTCCAGAAAAACCCTGGGAAAAACATAGTTATTCTGAATGAATAGTTCCATGAATTGCTCAAGATAGTAGGTAACAGAGGTAAGGACTAAAGCCTCATTACCTGGCATGGAGGGCCACCGTTGATGAAGTCCACTTGCCCTGGTAGTGGCAAATCACTAATCACCTTCTCATCAAGTGATGCAACCAATTCAGCAGCCTCAGAAGTTGATATACAGTCATCTGCATCCCCACACTTCTCCATCACAGCCCTGCAATAAAAATGATCAACAAGTCAGCTACATCAATATAAATAAATAAAAAAGAGGGGTCATATCCATCTCAATGTAATTACTCACTTAAGAATCACATTGCAGTTATTAATAAACATCAATGACTCTGGATGATTGAGTTTAAATGCTTCTCCAGCAGGCTCTTCATATTCAATAGACCACTTGGTCGATGACACACCTGCAGTGTTTGACATAAGCAGCCAGTCATCAAGTGCTCTAGAAATAGGTATGATCAAATACACGAAGTTAATCCAAAAGTAAACAGAACAGAGTATAATGGATATACCAGATTGTTGCAATCCCTCTGATAAACCACCACAGCCTGCAAAAATATCTAATGTGGCCAAACAATCTTGCTGAGACGCCTGTACTTGTTTCTCAACTTCTAAATCATCTTCTCCCTCTTTACACTTTCCTTTCTTCTTTCGAGATGCAGCTTCACTGGCAGGATTTCCACTTGAGTACCTTAGTTTGATATGCACGGGTAACTGTCCAAAAAAGAATTTAACAGAAAATTAAGGTCCAATTGAACAAAATTTCCTTATATGCAAAAGGAAATGGTCCAAGGAAACTAATTTAGATAACTTTTAGGCTTTGAAGGTTCATAAAAGAAAATTGTTAAGTGCTTCATACAACTAATCACACAGGTAGCAAATATTTTCAAATAAAGGATGCAGAAGGCAAACTACCTGCTTGAGGGACCCTTTAGAAGGATCATACAGATGTTCACAGAAAAAGATATGCTGAAAGATTGCAGGGGCAATGCAAACAGGAACATCATTCTTTTTTCTGACTTCACATTTTCCTTCAATTGCCTCAACAGAAATAACATGTGTTTCTTCACTGTAATAAACCTGAAAATCAAGCCGTAAGATATTTAGGGCAGGCCTTTCACAAGATGTTATAATCATATAACAAAAAAATGACAACAGAGACATGTAGACTTCTTTTGTTTTTATCTTTACCTCTCGAATATCGGAACTGTATGCCTTCTCAGCTGAAATGTCCTCAGGTCTGTAAAATCTTCTGACTTTAATCTGCATAGATTCCATTCCAGCTTGTTTGGGTTCCTTTGGGACAATGATCTCCAGCACTTGGCACACAACATAAGCCTTCAATCCTACATTCCGCCCTCCCTTGAAAGTTCCACTCTCCCCCTTTTCAAATTCAAAGTATTGGGGGCTTGCATAGATGTAATCATGAACAGAGTATTCAACTGTTCTGTATACAAAACTAGTCTTAGATGAATTCACTTTAAACGTTTCCTTCTCATTTTCAGCTTCCATTATGCTACAAGCATGACAGGAACCCAAACCAAGACCCATACTATCAAGAGGAAGACTAAAAAAGGCTCCCCTCTCAGGCCAATACAAACTTTTACAATAATATTCTGTAGGCAATCCTTTCCTCTTCCTGTCTTCCGCTGTTGCTCTATCAATCTTATCAGCATTGGCATTATCTTTTCGATGCTGATGCCCCCAAGGCATTGATCGAATATCCACAACAAC